AATAAAGTCTACTTTAACAAACTCACAAATTTCTTTATATTTCTCGATTCTATCATGTTTTTTGTAAATTTGATTGACTAAATCTCTAACGTAACCTAAAAGATAGATGCAATGTGTTGACATATCGCTTTTTTCTATCAACTTTAAGATTTTTTTTAAAACAAAATTTACAAGATTACGATAAACATAGTTGTCTCTGTAGACTTTATAGCGTAATTTATAATAACAATACTCTCTCAGAATGCGTAATTTGAAGTTAACAACGTAGACAAAATCATGCTCCTTCAACAGCCCCTTGTAGCATGGACAGATTTTTTCATAGTTCTTGACGAATATTGACTTGTAAGTTTTATATTTTCTCGAATTCGGTTTTGGAGATTCGAGACCACAATCCTCGACAACCTTTCGCCAGAAGGGATGCTCGTCAAGAGATTTTTTCCAAGATTTACAAACCAATGAGCATCTTTGAAAGGTGTAGGGATCGAAAATGTGGTTAAAAACGAGATAAATAGGGTGTATCATCATTCTCAAATTCTATCCTCTTCGTTTCATTTTAAGTTTAATACGACGATACAAAATCAAATTTATAACTTTGAAAATTACCAAATACAGATTCCATATTAGGAAATTTATTGATCAATGAACTGGAAATCAAAATTCTCATCGTTCGAATACGCAACAACCTGGAACAAGATCAAGAATCCGGACAAACCAAAGTTAAAACTGAACGAGTATCGTACGGTAAAGATCGAAAACAAGCTGTACCTCGAAGTTAAAACCCAGAAGCCTGACATCACATTTCTTACCGATTACAAACATTTTAAACACTTGAAGAATCATACTTGGCATTGCTTAAAATCAAAAAAAACAAAATACATATTATATTATGACAAAATATAAATTATCAACTTTATATTTTCATCGTTTAATCAAACAAGAATTCAAGATGATTGATCACATCAATAGAAGTGGTTTAGACAATCGTGAAATAAACTTAAGAAATGGATCGAACGGTATTAACCAATTAAATCGTAAATTAAGTAAAAATAATTCTAGTGGATATAATGGAATTTCTTTTCATAAAAATAGAAAAATATGGTGTTTCCAATGGTTAGATGACAAAAAACTTAAAGGAAAATGGTTTAAAACCAAGCAAAATGCGATAGATTTTAAGTTAGAACATGATAAAAAAACTGGTAATCGTAACGGATACCCTGTAAATTTTAAATAATGTATTGGTTGTCTTTGCTTAAACGAATAAACAAAACATTCAAGCCGCACCACGGGAAGGTTCATTATCATAGCAGCTCGTAAGAATTTAAACGATCAATTCAATAAAATTGAATTACTGGGGAGGTCATATTCGGATCCCAGGCCATGTTTGAATGAAGACCACGATCGTAAAATTCTCTCAACTTTTTTAGAGAAAAGTTTAAAACTGTTATCCTTAATTCAGTTCCTTACACGATAACCATGCAAGAACGAGTTGCGCCTCACTGTTATGAGCCTTAGGATTCAACCGGTGAATCCTTGTAGTATGCCCGAAGACAACTTGTATTGAGAATGCTTTTTACTCTCTATGGTAGAAAAAAGCCTAAACACATCCGTTCCTCGAGACATTCCTCAAGGTGCGTTAAACGCAAACACTAAGTTTTTCGTTCGCCCTCGAGGTGGAGAGTCTGGCCAAAACTTAATAACGACTAGCTGAAGCGATAAAGATTTTACCCTTTCGCCCGTGTCAACCAGAGAGACGTGAATACGCTTCACCAAAAAGATGGTTATCTCATGCGTCATTCGCCGCCACACATCGTGTTCATCTCTCTTGCAAGAGACTACGCTTCTCCCTGTTCGGATATTAAGATGCGGGTGTTCTCCACCGTCTCTCTGATAAAACCACGGACGAAAAGGTGAAAATCGTGAGATTGGGCGCAATCACAGGTACTTGTACGGTCGATCATCAATGAGTCACACCCGATTACGTAATCACACATGCATCACTATCAGAATACCGAATCCGGATTCATACAAATACGCAATCATGCTGATCAATTTTTACGTACAATCACATGCTTTATTTACAAAAATTAAATATATAATACAAATATTTACAAAAAAATATTTAAAATACAAGATTATTTTCAGCATAATCCAACAAATCGTTATAGTCTAACAGGTAGATATGACTAAAATTTTTATTCAAAACATCTATCGTGTACTCAAAATCCTCCTCATATTGCTTTCTCCTCCAGAGCAATAAGTCGAATGCACTCGCTTTACTGTAAAACCACATCGCATCGTGAAAGAGATTATGGTAACTACGTATATGTGCATCCAAAAATGAAAAGTACATCTTGAACCTCTCATACTTTTCAGGGGTTTCTCTCCTTACATCATCAAGATATTCTTCATATCTTGTGTAAAACTTCAGATCAATTACAGAGAATTGATTATCAAATTCAACAGTTGGTAAGGTGGTTTCAAAAGATTCTTCTTTATCGTCTGTTGACTTTGTTGACCAAGACTCAACTTTTTTGCATATATCGTCCCAACTGTCTTCTTGATTTTTGGGTTTCTTGAAGCATTTTAAGAGTTTTTTAAAGAATTTCATATTGTGTGTTGTGTGTTGTTTTTGTAAAATTCAGAGTGAATTGGAGGTTGTCTCCGTCAAAATTCTTGCTGTTAAATAAACTTTCCTTTGCAAATCTTGCAAATCATTTTTTGTCATCATTAATTCTGATTGGTTCTTTACACATTTTTATCTGTTTATTTTGGTTTCTTTTAAACCGGTTTTCTTTAATCCCATAATTATAAAAAAATATATAAAGGCTTTAAATTACTCAGTTAAATTTTAATTAATAATTTTTACAAGGTAAGAGAGAGTCGTAAACTGTATGATTTAATTTTAAAATCCGCTTTTAAAATATCATACTAACTCTTACTTTACTAACTCGGCGACTTCATGCTGTGGTTGTTCTCCGGCTGGTTTTCATTATTGTGGTTTATTTACTTAAATCATTTATGTTATAAATCCAGATGCCACCATCAACAATAGGTTATTACGCGGTATCAAAAGGATGCAAGACAGGATAATGAACAAGCAGATAGATTAGCATATCTAGGTTCTAAAAAAACACATGTAAAAGAATTCAATTTTCCCGAACGTAAAGGAACAATAAAGGATTATTTTAAAAGATAATAAAGTTATTTTCTCAACTTGGCAATTTCATCTCATTTAATAAACTTTTTATGTTATTTGTTAATTCAAAACAATTATGCATACGTATTGAGGGCTGCGTAGTTTTACACGATTTATCAACGATGTGGGAGGCGATGACCAACGACGTTTGGTCATCAATTGGGGGACCCGCATCACAGATTAATCAACGTAGAACCACAGAAGCACTCAATACATGCGCATAATTCACAACCACAGCATAAGCAATTGCGAGAACAGAGTCAAAGGGGCTCGCCGCTCCCGAAGGCGAACACTCAATTGTCAACAGTTCATTGTTCATTTAGAAACACCTCAACTCAGTCAAATTTGTTTTTAATTTCAATAAATTTTATTAGAAATAAA